TGATCTGAAACATTAAAGTGTGACAAACATGCAAAAAAATAAGAAATCAGGAAGGGGGCCAACACTTTTTCACGCCACTGTATATATATCTATATAGATCTATATATAGATGTCTATATATAGATCTCTATATATATATATATATATATATCTATATAGATCTCTCTCTATAGCACACACACATATATATATATATTTTTTTTTTCACTGGAAAACTATGGCATTTTTGCTTTTTCAACAAAATGTCTATGTTAACCAGCTATTACCTGGTGACACTTTACAATAAGGTTTGTTAACATTAGTTAACTGCCTTAGTTAACATGATCTAACAATGAAAAATAATTCTAACACATTTATTATTCTTAGTTTATGTTAATTTCAACATTAATTGAATGGACTTGAACTAACATAAACTAGCAACGAATATTTGCATTTTATTAACTAACATTAAGAAAGATTAATACATACTGTAACAAATGTATTGCTCATTGTTAGTTAATGTTAGTTAATGCATTAACTAATGTCAGCTATGGAACCATATTGTTAAGTTTTACAGGAGAAGCAGCAGAATTCTAATCAACAATGTAGATTACATCACAGAAAGCCAAATGATTAAGTTTCCAAGGCATAACAAAGGAATGTACAAGATCAATAAATGTAAGATTTTCATTGGCAATGCAGCACTGGCCCGAAAGGACAATTGACAATTCTGCAAACTGGCACAAAACTCTTTCACATTGGTTCCGGGCCAGCGGGCCATCCTTATTCTTGAGCCCTGTCACTGAAAATCTTCCCTCAGCTGCAGCTCTGGAATCTTATTCTCCATTCCTCGTATTTGAAGTAACACGCTCAAGAACTAATGGTCTTTTGACAGCACATTGTTACACCATAGAGAATCTGAATGCAAATAGACAACAAATCTTTGGCATGTTTCTTTCATATGGCAGTCAATGACGATATTTTATTTTTACTTTTTTTGCCTCAATTTAGTTTTATTTTAATACATTTTTTTCTTTTTTTGCCTCATATTAGTTAACTCAATTAACTAATATTGCTGTAAAAGAGCTCTTTGAAGATTCTCCATAGTTATATCTCTTTATTTCCACAGAAACAATTAAGTCATACATGTTTGGCATAATATGAATATGCTGCATTTTGGTGATTACGTGCTGCCCTAAGAACACTTTAGAGGAAGTAAAAGTCTTATGTGTGCAAAACACACTCATGCATGAGACTTCCAACCCACAACTCTTGGCAAACATTACGTTGGTACTTGTTGTTTAGCAGATTTACAGTTTTCTTATTAGAGGCACAAATTCTCTGCAGCAAGATGTCTTGTTTGCATGGTTAAAAACCTTGTTAAAGTCTACAAAGGGAGTATGAGCTCTCCATAGCTCTCTTTTGGCTATATATTGACCCTACAGGGTTCCAACCTGCAACCACCATGCTGCCAGCCACCACTGCACTATATCACAATCATTAAAAAATGAAGTATTAATAGTATAATACTACATGTTTCAAAACATGCACTTACTTGGTTTCAAGTGAACCGAGTAAGATGATCAATAGCTGTTTTCACACAAAGAGCTGTTGTTTGAGACACATTTTCGAGACACTCTTTCCCTCTCGACATTCGTGTATTGAACAGTCAAGACCAGACAATACAGAAGACCAATAGACGTGATGGAAGCTGTGTAGAATATGTTCCAGTCATGTTTTACCCTAAAATCAAAGAAATGCTATTTCAGATGGAAATCAGATGTAAAGATTAATCCAGATTAATTACAGTGATGAGAATATGGGTGATTAATTTACGTGAAACTAAAGTCACTTTTTTTCCCGTTTTAGGTTGAAATGTCACCTGGACATGTTTTCATGAGATTCACCCAAATAGATATTAAATATGATTGAAAGCATGAAGAACTGGAGCATTGATTTCCTCGTGTTTGGCTTTGGTAGGTCCAACCTATGACGTGACCTTCACTGAAGTAAGGGATGATTCGGTGGTGGTGGAGTGGAAGGCTTCTGTTTACAGCGGCGCCAGTGCCATCACTGGATACTTTGTTGAGAAATCCAAGAAAGGCTCTAATACCTGGAGCAAAGTCAGCGAAAGTTCAGTCAACCACTGCTATCTTAAGGTATCGATTTGTGCTGTCAAACTCACATTCTCAGATATTTTGTACTATTACTCCAGCTAGACATGGAAGTATGAATACTGGTGTGTTTCTCTATGGCTTTATCAAATGTATTGTTTGAATTTTTGCAGGTCAAGGGTCTAGAGACAGGCGAATCTTATGTGTTCCGTGTGCAGGCAGAGAATGCCCAGGGCATTGGTGTTGCTTCAACCCCCTCTGACCCTGTGTGCATCAAGGCACTGCCAGGTAAACCAGTACTGTAGAGCGGACAGCTTAAAGTCCCCATTAAATCAAAATGAAAGTTTTTTGGGTGTTAGTATCAATATGTTAGTCTTAAGGTTATCTATAACAGGGGTTTTCAACCTTTTAGGACATGCACCCCCCAAGTTTGTCTAATTTCACTCGCGGCCCCCCAACATCCAACACCCCCCCCGTATTGCTGTAGTCACACTGAATTACTTTATTAACATTAACATAAAAGCAAATATCCATTAAAGCTATTAAAGCAGCAAACTATTTTTCTTTTGCTCTTTTTGATTAACATTATTTACATAAGAAATGCACGGATCCGTTATACTGATGTACATTTGATATTTTCTTTACTGTTTACATTCACTTAAAACAACCGACTGTGCTTACAAGGATACTTGTCAAGACAGACATTGGTATTCACCTGCTGTCTGAGAAGGCTATCTGTTTGTGCACTTCAGACGTGTGCGCGGTGCGCATAGAAACGCTTTATCACAGCACGTGCGTACCGCATTGAGATGTCTTGGGCTTAAATGGCTTAAAATTACTTTAATGTTTAAACTGACAAGACTTAAAACACGTGAGAATGAAAAACTTCCTTGAGGAAGCAGCACTGGCCTAATCGTTAAGATAGTTTTGGGGGGCTAAGGTGACAGATAGGGGGGCTGAAACCCACCTAAAAAGGGTTTAGAACCGCCCCTGGTATAGCATGCGTAATTATACTGAAACAAATATATAACCGGTTTACCTGATTCAATGTGATGGCTGAGCCTGTTTCTGAGATAACAACATGCCAAT